TAGGCAAGGTTGCTCGCCCCGGTCTTTGTTTCTCCATTTTGGGTATTTTTACAGCTGCACCTTGTCTTCCTGGCCTGTGGTGAAACCTCGTGACCATTCTTTATCAGTGTTGGGTCTTCTGCTGATTAAATCACCCGTGGCTTATTTCGGCTCTTTCTGGCCCTGATGCAAACAAGTTCCTCAGTATTTATGAGCCCGCTTGCTGTTGATTGTTCCTTGGTTATCAACACATGCCATTCTCGCAAGGGCTGCTTTATTGCTTTCTGGAACTTGCACAGAAAAAGATTTCCAGTCATGCTTCGTTCTTAGTGTTTGGGCTACAAATACCAACACATCATCGTCCTGGTTGCAGGAAATCTGGGCAAGATCATTTCAGTGCGTGTGTCTTGTTGCCTGAGCGCTGGACAGACCACTTGGAGACGTGTGGGGTTTAAGAGTTATGTGGTTGGGAGACTGTTAATATGAATAAAACCACTTTTTATAATGAAATGACCTTTTTATTCCCTATAAATTGAACTTTGACATGGTGTTGCTACATTAATTGCTATAATAATAAGGTTCAGAACAAGATGATCACATAATATTTTGTGAGGTATCTTTTATCCTGATTTCGTTTTTCCTGCTGAAGCCAAGCCCAAAGGCAGTATGAATACAATCACATTCTGTTTTCTTGCTCTCTTTCATTGAGATGAACCTGACAAATCACTGCAGAAAAGACCCCTCCCAAAGATATTAGATAGCTTTGTGATAACTGTGAAGAAAGCATGGAGGGAACAAATTTTTACAGGGTAGGAGAGGAAAACCAAATCTGCGCAAAGCCATGTAAAGACATCCAATAATATTTAACATAACTCTGCCAAGTTCCTCTCCCTTTCCAATTAGGACCAACAGAAAGTACCCAGTCAAGAACTCCTTTCACCCTGGTTGCTGTGAAGCCTTTGAGAACGAGGTGCAGCCCTGCAGGATGGTCGGCCACCCTTGCCTCCCCGTGCCGCCTCCCAAGGTGGGGCAGGGGAACAGAGGTCTCCTGGCACCCCACCAGGGACACACTGAGTCACCTACACTGGCACTTCTCACACCCTGCCGAGCGTGGTGTTGTCCCTGGCTGCTGCTTTGGGCTGCAGGGTGTTGCTGGGCTGGATGTTTGCCCAGGGCTGGCTGCAGGCTCCACGAGCCGAGGTGGTCGCCACCTCCTTCTGCTTCCTGCAGCCAGCCCTGAGCCCTGGGGGGGAGAGGACACCCCCATGGAGGAAAGGATGGCCCCATGGAGGAGAGGATGGCCCCATGGAGGAGAGGATGGCCCTGGGGAGGAGGGGATGGCCCTGTTGCAGAGAGGACTGATGCTGAGCTGGAGCTAGGCAGAGCTGTCCCAGCTCACTCGCTGCTTTTGGTCCCAGTTCACAGAGGTGCTGGGCTCACTCCCTGGCCTTGTCGAGTTGGTACAGAGCAAACTTCCAGATCCGTGTGAGGTCTGTGCAGGACCCAAAAGCCACCCCTCGCCCTTGAGTCAGCCCCTCTGGTATTGCCTCTGCGAGATGTCTTACCTGCTCTGTTAGAGCAGAGGGGCCAGCTTGCCAGGGCTGTTGTGTGTGGGGTGGTGTTGTCTTGGGCAAAGCTGAACAGATTCACTAAGTTATTGACTTTTTTTATTTATTTATTTACATAAAGCAGTAAAAGATGAACAGACAGCAGTGGGTCTGTGAGGTAATGTGGGCTGGAGAGAGCAAACGGCTCCACGCAAATCCATTGGGAAGTGGTGGTGGGATCCTTGCACTGGGGAATCAGGCAGAAGGGGCCTCAAGTGGCAGCTGCAGCGAGGCACAGGAGGCCTGATTTTTCCAGAGCTGAACTCTTCTACATTTTTTTTCTCTATATTTTTTTTTTGACAGCTGTACAAGGTAGAATAAGGATACTGCCAAAAAATGTTTACCTTTCTAGTTAATAAACTATAAATCCAGCCCGAATTCTGCCAGTTCCAGGCCTGGCAGTCCCCGTATCTCACAGAAGTGTTCTGATGCAAAAACGTCACGCCATCGATCACGGTGTCCTCAAAACGTCCTGTGAGAGCTCCCAGCCCCCGAGTGGGGTCAGGGGGCTGCGTGGAGGGGCTGTGGCCGAGGAGGTGGAGCAGGACGGTGGAGCTCGGTGGGGAGGCTTTGTTCTGACCGCGGTGGATGCACCCCACAGTCAGCTTCTAGTCACGGTGCTACTCGTTAGCTGAGGTAAATCCCTGGTCGGCCAAGTTTGCACAGCTGGGAGTTTCCTCTGGTGAGGTTTAATTGCAGCACCGATAGCCGTCTTGGAAATGTGGTGGTTGCGGTGGGACAAAGCCAAACGAGGACTGCTGTTGGGGTATTATCTACTGGATCGATACCACCTGGGGCTCGTGTGTGTGCCTGAAGTCTGGCTTCTCGCTGCTGCTCTTTTGCAGCAGCAGATTAACCTCAGGATTCAATGCCACACAAAGACATGCTGCACAACCAACACTCCGGGTGTTCCCTCCAGGGCGATCGGTTTTCCCAGTTCTGTAACAAAGACCCGTGCCTCCCCTCGCTAATACCTGCTTGCCTGTGATGCTATCCAGGGTCCACCTTGGCATAGCTGCAAGATGCCAGGGCCTGGAGCTCTGTGCCTGCTGGGGGAGGATTTGTTGTGCCGCTTGGAAGCGTAACTGGAGGTGTAGGTCACGTAACTGGAGGTGTAGGTCATGGTGAACCTGTGGCCACAGCTGCTGGAGGTTTGCCTGCAGGGATGCCATCTGGAGAGCCCACGGGGATGGTCTGCTGACCATCTTTGAAAAGGGATTTTCCAGCAAAAAAATCTATGGCATGTGGTTGTATTATGCATTTGCATATCGAATTAATTCAGTATTCGAAACACTGGTACAAGATCGATAGCTAAGACCTTAAATACATTTGTATGTGTGTATATAAAGACATCAGAAATGAGGGGTCACAACCATAATGTAAGAATTTGGTCTGATTTGAATAATGCTCTGACGTTCATCTAAGTGCTTCTGGAGCGGTTTTGTTTTAGGCAGAATATAAAGTACATAATTTAAACTGTTGCAAATAAGGAAAGTTTAATTTTAACTCTGAATCCTTGGCTGATGTTCCTCGAAATTAAAACCACCGGACTTTATTCAGTCTCCTAACTGGGGGAGTGTACCTCTAATAAAGCTGGTGGTGAGACACGTATTTGCTGTAGGAACGTAAGACACAGAAAATCAACAGTTACGGTAGGAAAACAGCCGTAACATATGCTATTCTGCTTCTAGGTGTGTGTGTGTTTGTTTGTTTTAATGAATTCTTAGAAATACTTAAGAATGAGTAGGCTTATGGCTGAACCTGCGCTAAGTTTAGAAACTTCGGTGGCTGATTTAGAGTCAACTGCAGTTTGCTTGGCTTGATCGCCTGGTCTTACACAGATACGGGAAATTCTAGAGAAGCCAAGACAAAACAATGGTATTTGCATTAGTTTGTGTGCTTCTGTTTGCTATCTGAATGTACACGGTCTGCACTTGTTCCTTTTTTTCCATTCTATCAGCTGGTGTTAGGCCGGTGTCCTCCATATGGGAGGCTCTGTGCTTCCCAGCGTGGGGCAGAGGGGCCAGATCCCCTCCCTGCTCCTGCGGGTGCTGCCTTCCCTCTGGTCCTATTGCTGGAGCATTGCCCCCCAGCTCCCCCCCCTTCCTTTCAGGCAGTTGCAGAGAGCAATAAGCTCTGCCCTGAGCCTCCTCTTCCCCACCCCAACCCCCCCAGGTCCCTCAGCCGCTCCTCACAGGACTTGTGTCCCAGGCCCTTCCCCAGCTTCGGAGCCCTTCTCTGGCCACGCTCCAGGGCCTCGATGTCCTTCTGGGAGTGAGGGGCCCAAAGCTGAACCCAGCACTCGAGGGGCGGCCTCAGCAGAGCAGAGCCCAGGGGGACGAGCACCTCCCTGGCCCTGCTGGCCCCACTGCTCCTGACACAACCAGGATGTCACAGACAGAACTGTCCAAATCTTTGGTAGCAAGCTGAGTGAGCGTTTGTTTATAGGTACAGAATGTGTAGCAGCAGCAGCAAATGTTCCTTTTCCTACAAATAAGCTTGTCTTGTCTTGCAAGGATCATCTTCAGAGCTGGAATGAGATTTGAGCTCTAAGTCATTTGGGCTCTTCTGCCTAAATTCTGAGGAATTCACTCAGAGCTCTGATTTTTTGAACATGAGAGCTTCTAATGGGAGCCGGGCCAAGAGCTATTAAACTGATTTCCCATTGATCTCCGAGCAGTCACCGCTGGATAATTCGTAATCATTATCTACTTAGAGTGAATCCGATGTGAAGCAGAAGGCTTTTTTCTTAGCACGTGCCTTTAGGGACCCCACCTTTGGCGGATGTTTTTGGTGCCCGCTGCCTGTGCTCGTGCCGTGAGTCACCCAGCGCCACGCAGCAGCACCATAGATGGGCTGGGGGAGCCAAGCTTGCCTGGTGCTTACACAGACTCAGGCATGTAGCAAAATATGCGGTGTTAATCTTGAAACGTGGAAAAATATGTGAAAACCAGCCAGAAAAATCTATTTCATAATCAGGAAGAAGGCGAACTTTTTTTTTTTTTTTAATTGGCGCGTTGCATAAACGTCCAACTGCTGCTCTCAAACGCCGTGCCAGCACTCGCAGCCTCCACGTGAGACACGGAGCTGGTAGCAGGAGGGGAGCTCTGCTGCGGGCACCCTGCCACTGGGGCTGGTGGTGCCTGGCCCCGGTGCCACAGCGGCGGTGTGGGGATGTGGGGAGCCTGACCCCGAGAAGAGCAGCCTCGGTCAGGCCATGGCCTGTCCTTTCTTGTTAGCATCAGAAGTTTCGTGGGAAATCTGGCAGTTGCGCTTAACCCTGCTGTGAATGAGCACTGGGATGCTGGGTAGGGTTCAGGGAAGGCTTTTCCAAACACCAGATGTTTAATGAGCAAACACGGTGGCAGGTTTTTGGGACAGGCTACATCACGTTGGTGTTTTCTCCCTCAGCAGAATTCTGCCGGATCGACAAGCCCTTGTGCCACGATGAGGACGAGCAGCTCAGCTTCGAGGCTGTCCGCAACATACACAAGCAGATGGACGACGATGCCAATGGCAATGTGGACGTGGAGGAGAGTGATGAGGTTCGTACTCAGCCCTTTTGCTGTCCTCTCGCAGAGTTCTGCTCCCGTGCAGGGCCCAGGAGGGCTGCTCTGTTACGGGTGGTGTTAATGTGGCAGGGGTGCCTGGAGGCTGCTGGCTGTCCTTTCCATCTGATCTGGCAAGGAAGCAATGTTCCATCGTGATCCAAGTTCCTGGTCCAAACAATGTATGTCAGTACTGTAATCCTTAGTGTGCGTGACTTCTCTCCTCTGTTAGGGGTTTCTAGGGGCTTAATTTTTGTTTTATACACAAGCTTTTATCAATGTATTCCATGGCTGAAAGACGGGTAGATCTGTTTACGTGGTTGTTATTATTGCATTGCTTTCTTTTTTAACTCTGGAGTTGGGAAACCCGTCTGATTCTGATCAAGCCTCTCTTTGCCATATCGATGAGCAAATACACTGGCTGCTGTCTCCTTCCCATTCTAGTATTTACTCCATTATTTCACCGTGTGGTGGTTTTGCTCAGGTGGGCAGCCGAGCTCCCCCACGGCCGCTCCCTCACTTCCCCTCCTCAAAGGGAAAGGGAGGGAAGAAAGTATACTGGGAAGAAAAAAACAACTCAGGGGTTAGATAAGGATGGTTTAATTAAAGGGAAAAGGAAGAGGGGAAAGAAAAACAAGCAAAGGCTGTGTGGAAACACAGAGAGAGGAAAGAAATTACTCTCTACTTCCCATCAACGAGCGACGTTCAGCCATGTCCCACCTCTTATTGCCCAGTGTGACACCACAGGGCATGGGACATCCCTTTGGTGGTTTAGGTCGGCTGCCTGGTGCTGTCCCCTCCCCAGCCCTGCTGGCTTTGGGGGTTGGAGGAGCCGAATGTTGGAAGTTAGAAGAACAAAGGCTGTCGAGGTGATCTGGCAGCCACAAGATCCCCGTTTTCCCAATTCCTCGATCCGTTGCAGAACCAGTGGCTGGGCAGGAGTGGCTCGCAAGGCTCAGGTGCACGATGTCTGGCTCGAGGGCTGCAGGAGCTTCTTGACCGGTGGCAGCACACGTCTTGTGCCAAGTCCATGGCACGCGACCGAGGCTGCGCTGGGAGCAAGGGCTGCCGAATGATCCGAATTCTTGGCCGTGGAAGGAGGGGAAGCAGGAGCCACTGCTGGGCCCGGGACCCAGCACGCGGGTGGTGAGCCTGGCAGCCCCGTGTCGCCGCTCTCCTGGGGCACGCGCTGCACCTCCTGGTGCTGGGAGAACCTGAGGACCCTCGGACAGCTTCCAGAAACACAGCCCGCTGCTTCTGGACCCACAGCTTTCATTTTCTTCTCTCATTCTGATGCATGTGTCAAAGGGGAGGCAACGACAGCACCTGCATGGTGCTGCACCGTCCTCCAGAAGCCCTCCTCTAGGACGCGTTATTCACAGCTCCCAGATGCAGAAATGGAAGTCCAGGGAGGTGAAACCTTCCACCTGAACTCATGCAGCAGGGGCAAAGCTGCTCGTGACGAGGCCCCTGTTGTTTCTGGGAGGATTGCAGTCCCCCAGGAATCAGCACGGCAGCCTCGAGCTGAAAGCAGTGCTTGCTCCTGCTGGGTGGATTCGGCTGATTGTTCCCGGGCTGCGGTGCCATTTCCTCTGCCTAAATTCTGCTTCGTGGAGCAATTACAACAAATGAAAAGCTTTCCTGAGCAAATGAAGAGCTGCGGTGCTGTGCTTGTGTGAAATGAAAAGCTCTGAACTGCATTTCCTAAAACGTGGTGTTTTCCCTCGAGGCCGCTCTTCACTCAGCCACTCGCCACTGTCCCCACGGAGGTGTGCAGGGTTCCTGGAGGGAAGGTGATGCATGTGGCCATGCTCTCTTTCTCAGACGTGGTGCAAGGAGAGCCGAGGTAGCTCCTGGTGCTGCTGTGCCGTGCCGCTGGTGCTCGTCCAGCCCCACACAGCAGGGGGACACGTGCGTGGGCTCAGCAGAGAGTCAGCAAATCCCCGCCACGGCTGCAGCGGGGCCGTGCCTCTGGCTGCCCGGTGCTTCTCACATCTGGCTTCACGATTGGAGAAAAATTGCAAAATCCTGTGTGCCTCACAGCATAACCTAGGCGACGTCACACAGGTGCATCTTTTTGGGGACTGAAGGATTTTTCCTTGGCTTCCCTTTCAGAGCTGATGAGCACTCGTGTGCGTGCGCAGGCAGCGAGACGGCGCTGGGGCTGCGAGCCTCATCCCTGCTGAGCTCCAGACCTGTGCTGACGTTAAAGCTGCACTGAGTTAACCGTGCTGTGAAGGCTTTGAAGCCCCCGAAGGTCACATTTTGAGAGGTTTCTCTGGCCAGCCTGCTCCTGCCGGAGCCGCTCGCTGTCCCCTGTAACCGTGTTTTAATGCCCCATCTCTGGCTGCGGGACAGCTGCTGGGGATATTGTTTGGAAGAATGTGCCGTACCACAAATAGTTCCTCTGGGCAGGCTCTCCTCAGTGGGGGTTTGTATACTCGGGATTTATTTTTTTATGGGTGAATTTGAGACAGAACAGAATGAGCTGACATCTTCGTGTCGTTCTGGAGCAGTGTTGGTGGTGGGCTGTTCCTGCAGGGATGTGCTGAGCTTAGCTGGACGAGTTGCCTGGTAAACCACATTTCTCCTTCGGATTCATCTTATATCAAATGCTTTAATTAAAAAAAAACAAGTTTCCTCTGTTGAGGATAGGCTGAGGTAATTTTGAAGCTTGGCTTTTATCACCTGTTCTCCAGAAGCATTTGCAAGCTCCAGCGGAGGGCAGAGGTCCCGCAGCCTTTTAAGCACAGGGGCTCGTGCTGCGATGCTGCCCACCCGGCCAGGTCTGTCCCTCGGCCACGCTCGTGGTGAGAGCTGCAGCTGGGAACCTTGAACTTGGGTTTGTTGTTTTGGCCCTTTCTCTCTGGGATAAGTTACAGATATATTGTGTTTGGATTAAGACTGTGCAGAAAGGGAGTGAGAGGCAGATGATAAGTTTATCTTTAAGCTGTTCTAATTATAGGTAGGGTGCGTGAGATTTCGTCCAACAACTTCATGCTGCCCTTAAATCATCGCGGCATCTTTCCTTTCTGGATTGAATTTTCAATGAAGTTTAAGATGACATCAGTGACCTCAATTAAATTGAAAGAGCTATCCCTCGTGGGGAGATCTTCTAATTAGCGATCTATTTCTGCTCTTCACGCTCACTCAAAAGGCAGCTCTGGCTGTTTAGGGGCTACTCTGATTTAGGTTTAAATCCACGGCTCTCTCCGACGCTTTTAGCCTGGTTTCCTAAGGAAACAAGGTTTATGTTATTGCTCTGTCACTCCCCAGCTCCTCATAATTTCTGATCCTGTTGTCTCGCTTCAGGCACGTTAGTGAGAAAGAGGTCTTGAAGACAGAAGTTTCCTGCAACTTTTTATGAAAATCAGCTCAGAAGACCTGAAAATCTCACGCTACCTGGGGGCACGCTGCGTGCTGAGCTCCATCAGCCTGTTCTGCTCATGTAGCACACACTCATTTAGCTGGTGCTCGTGGGACACCCCTGCCCTGTGCAGCTGGTGGGATTTGGGAACGTCGAGGGGGCTGAAGGTTCGGGTCCTGCGGGCAGTCAGGGTTTCTGCAGATTAGAAAGCACAAGGCTGATCTCCAGAAAATCATTCTTCACGGAACTGCTGAGTTTTGGGTGTGCTTTCAGCTTCCGAGACCAGGGGCTTGTATGAACCAAAGAACCCGTGCAGCCCCAGATCCCTGCCCCTTTTAGCGGGGAGAATAATGAGCTGGTGGAGAATTAAAACACGGGTGTCTGACCAGGTCCTATAACCCTGAGAAGGTGCTGTAGTTGGTGTCTGGGGGGTCCTCCACCTGATGCTGGAGGTTTTGTCTCGCTGAACGTGGTGAGAAACCTCCTGGCCTCTGCGTTCACAGCCTGGCTGGGGCTGGCAGCTCTCTGGACGTCGCCTGCTCCAGCCCCAGCCCGGGCAGGGCCACCCAGAGACACTTTTCACAGAGATTTTGGGTCTTCGGGGATAGCACCGGCAGCGTGTCCTCAGTGCTCTGACGTGCTGCTCTGTAAGGGTTTGAGGTTGGTATTCTGTGCGCTGGTCCTTTCGCTGGGTGTTTGGCCATCTGGGTATCCCACGGCTGTTCCACATACACGTCTTAAAATGCACATCGTGTACGTGCTCGGGACAGTTGTCTGTGGGTGTGAAATCTCTGAGGAGTTTTCTCCAGTGGGGAAAAAATGAGAGCCTTACAGCTTCCAGCTAGAAAACTTCATGCAGTAGGTGGGAGAAGTGCCCTGGGAGCTGCGGGCACGTCAGTGCGCAGAGCAGGAGCTGTATTTATTCCTATTTACCTGTGCTGGCTGGCAGCACGTGGTGGGTGGGTGGAGCAGTCATGTTCAGCACCGTGTTCAGAACATTTCTGATGCTGCTGGATACGGAGTTAGCAGGTCAGAAGCTGCCGTACCCACTACAGCTGAAAATATCCCAATTTTCTGACATGGGTTGGAGACAGCGAGTGACACCAGCAGCCCTGCAGAGACCCCAGTCTCCAGGCAGGACCAGCTCTCCGTGCAGACCAGTGGAGGCAAGCTCTGGCTGACTTGCTCTGTTTGCATTTTGTTTCTTATCCTTTCCATAGAAGACACTCGGAGAAAAGCTGCTCTTGGCATTTCCCTGGGTTTTGATGCATGCGGCGCCGCTCCCCCAGCTCTCCCAGCCGGCTTGGTGCAGTGGCCACATCCTGCATCCAGTGAGAAGTGTGGGACAGGCGGCTGGCCCGGGTGGTCTTTAAGGTCCCTTCCACCCCAGTCCCCTCTGTGATCCCATCCCAGCCCCTGCCTGTTCCCACCGCTGGCAGCACCGCGAGCGTGCCGCGGGCTCCTTGGGATGCCGGGTGCTGCAGGGAGCCGGGAGGGATCACTTTCCCTTCCTGAGCTCCCCGAGCTAAATTTACAGAGCGGCAGCTGATCCCTGCGTCCCGGTGGGAGCTCGCAGCCGCCCGGTGTGTGACGCCGGGTGACATTGCTGCCGGCCCTGGAGGTCACAGCAGCGGGAGGCAGACCGAGGCACGGCCGCTGCTGGGGGCCCGGCTGCACTGTGCTGCACGTGCTGCAGCTTCCCGGGGGTTTGGTGTCCTGTGTGCTCCGTGACAACGTGGGAGGGGAGCCAACGCTTCTGCAAGAAGCATTTTTTTGGGGGGGAGCTAACGCTTTCTGCAAGCTGCAAAGCAAGAGGGCAGATGGCCGAGAGGCTCCAGCCACAGACACCTGGCGCTGGCATTGGCAGCACCCTGAGTGGGCTTGTAAAGAGTTCAGGAGGTTAAAATTGCTGTGGATATTTTTAATATCCAATATACTCTTGAAATACAATCTCTTTATGCATAGATAGCTTTTTAAATAATTCTGTTACACTCTTCACCTTAAAAAAAACGTGACCAGAAATGTGCTTGCTGATCACACAGCGAGTCGTGCAGGTAGGGATGTAAATGTGAAATTGTCTTTTAATTTAGTTGTTATGCTAGGAACTGGGATGTGAGCCATCTCCTTCCCTCTGCTCCGTGTTCACATACTCGTGCTTGCCTCCCCTCTCCTGAACTCCTCCTTCCCAGAGTGCCGTCCCAAACCTCGCTAGACTTTCCCACTCTCCCCCTCTTTTTTTTTTGATCTGATTTCTTTCACTTTTCCTTGGTGTCTCCCGTTTCTGCCCCATCTTCCCCTGAGATTCGAGGAGGATGGGAACGAAAGAAAGATGCTGTTGTGATGGATGTGAGCTCTGATCCGGCTGCAGACGATGACAGGACACAAATATTCCTCAGTGGCTCAGCCGGCAGCACCAGCAGCGCCCTCACCGCTCCTGACACCTGACTGCCTTGGGTGCCACTCGTCTTTTCCATTGCTGTTGCTGTTTTGCCTGTGATTTGATTGCACCGCATTAACGTAGAGGAAGCAAACATGGAAATGGAGAACGGTTTAAGCAAAAGGCAAATATTGACCCCACAAACTGCCCAGGAGCGTTTGGGGACTGGGAGCAGCAGGCTGCAAGCAGCGGCACAGTGAGCTCGTGGGCTGTCCTTTACATCACCGCAGTCTCCTTTTTTTCACTATTTTTCATTTAATTGAGTAAGCCACTGGACTGAACTTTTCAGGAAATGTGCTGGGAGCTGCTTTGTCCCGGTACGCCTGCTGTAACCAGTGGAGCCTGCAGGGACGAGGAGGCTGCCTCCACGAAAGCACGGCGCTGCCCTCCCTGCAGCCTCCAGAGGGAACACACCTCGGCCCCTGCGGGCGGCACGGGCTTCAGCTTTCGTTTGGAGTTGCAAATCCCATCCAGTAATAATAATAATTTTATTTTCATTGTTACCCCACTGACGTAAAGTCGGTTCCGCTCTGCTATTTAGCTGAATTCTGGGTGCAGTTACAATCCAGAGAAAAGTCTGCAATCCCCACAGCCCAGGTCATGTTATTCTGGTACTCGATGTTTATCTGTTTTAAAGTCAATGTAATGTTAATTTAACATAAATACGTGCTGGATATTGCCTGACTTGTCTTCCCAAATGCCAGAAGCCGTGGCAGAGCACGGCAGAGGTGCTCCAGGCCCTCCCACACCTCGGGGCCCTGCTGGGCTCTCGCCACCAGCTCCAGGCCAGGGGCAGCCTCCCCAGCACGAAAAAGGAGGCAAAATGTGACCGTGGCACTGGAAATAGAGATAAATGCGTGCAGCTCCAACAGGGTGCAGGTGTTCAGTAGTGGCAGTGTTTCTTACAGCAGCTCAGCTAGGCAGGTGGTGTAATTTTAGTCCAAGTGAGTAAAGCCTGAGGTGCTGCAACCCAGAGCTAGCAGGGCTTTGCTGCAGAAAGTGTTCCGTGACAACATGTGGATGTAATAGTAATAGGAAGGTGAAATACTTTTTAACTCTCCTGTTGTCTAAATGATGAATTGAAGAATAATCCTGCTGTTTCTTCTTCTCCTAGTTCTTGAGAGAGGACTTGAATTACCATGACCCAACGGTCAAGCACAGCACTTTCCATGGAGAAGACAAGCTCATTAGCGTGGAAGATCTTTGGAAGGCCTGGAAGACATCTGAAGGTAAAAAATTAAAAAACAGAAGCAAAATGAAATAACCTAAATAACCACACACACACACTCCTTGCTACAAAGGGCTGTGTGTACATTGCAGGGAAAATACTCTTATTCTGCCTTTGCTGCCTTCTCTAAGTTATTTTTCCAGCTTCCTTCTTTTGGGCATTCCTGCATTTTTTTGCTCTTGGTACTTTTCAGCTGTTAATGCTGGCATCTGAGTATGGCCATAAAAGTCTAAATTGTTTTTCTTTCTCTACCCCTATAAACGTGTTAAAATAGAGCCAGATACTGCCCTATTCCAGTTTCTCCTTTAAATTCTAGTTTCAGCTGCTGTTTTATGGGGTAATAACATCCTACATATTAAATAGAGCTGTGTGGGAGTTTTTCTACAGATTGTATTTCCCTGAGAAGAAATTTGCTGAACTTGAGATGCTCCTTAAACTACTGAAAAAAAGGTAGAATAAAATCCTAAAACGCTAAGTGTACATAAATACATTCAATGTAGATGTAAGCTGCAAGCTCGTGAAATGGTTTTGCTCTTCGCAGCAGCTTAGTCCAGCGAGGTGGTGAAAGTTCAGTCCCTGGTGGGAAACTCCCTAAAACTTGTGAATTTTTGAAGAAGCTTTTAGGTTCACTGGGACTTCTTGGCACAATTTCACTTTCATTTTTTCCCTGACCAGAATTTTAGAATTATTTCTGCTTTGAGAAATCTTAAAACTCACCCCTCCCCCTTCATTCTGCTTTAGAAACTTTTATTCTTGATATATTGGGGGTTTCCTGTGATCTGTGGCATGGACCATTTCTGCCAGTGACCGCATTTTGCTCCTCAGTTGTCCTTTTCTATTCAGTATGCTCTCAAGACTGAGAACATCTTTTTTTTTTTTTTTTTTCCCCAATAGTTTTAATTGCTGCTGATCAATTCACCTGTAGTCTTTTCCCTTCCCTTTATCCTCTGAGGTCAGGACAAGATCGGGACAAGATCAGGTGTTATGAACACCTCTTGCTTGAAAAAAATGGCTTTTAGTCTTCTGATGAATTTATCAAATTTTCCATTTCTCTTTCGTGTCCTGTACCATTTGCATGTGATTTGTCAGCCTCAGCTTTTAAATCACCCGGCGATGGGATGTGCTCAGTGCCTTCAAAGCCCTGTGTAGGTACCGCTGTAGGCATGTCACCATCTCTCCCAGTCCCAGGACCACGTTCTCGGCTGTAGTGTTTGAAGGGCTGTATGAAGGTGCAGCGATTCTGGGCACGGTCCTGGCATTGTTTATCCAGGCCTGGACTCTCTGTCCCACGTTGATGCACAACCACGTGCTTAAAATCCTTGCCCAAGCCACTTGGAGCCAGCAGGACGCTACCGAATCGCTCTGCCTTCCGTGTCAGAAATATTTACTCCGTGGTGCGGCTGATTACAGATGGCTTTGCCAGAAGTGCATTTCAGCGTTGGTTGGGTAAGCACAGAAGCCATTAGGGGATGGAGGAGACCGTCCCGGGATACTCCCCGGGTCCCTTAATTGCAGAGCTGCTTTTGCTCTCTTCCTGCTGCTGACAAGGGCAGGAAGTGGCATTGCTCCGCGTGCAGCTCCCGTGGTACGGCTCTTGTTTTGGGGGATGTAATTAGCGCGCTGCTTTTCTTTCTCATTGTTCTGCGTAGCTGGCTGATAAAATTAATGACTGGTTCCAAAAGTGGTCTCGTTTGGAGACTAATCCGGGCGTTTGAAAGCGAGCTGTAAAATAGTTGAAGCTGGCAAGACGGCCAGGGCTCTGTGCGGCTGCAAAGGGCAGCACTGACACAGCGCTCGAGGCACATCCAGAACACGTGTCCATTCCCTACATCCCTTTTCCGAAAGGTTTGGGTGCTTTTACAACAGCTTGGCTTTGATTTATATAAATCCCTCGGTACGTGTGGCTCTTGGAAGCAGGAGATGGCCTGCGGGCAGGGTGCAGAGCAGGCGCAGCCTCCATCTCTTCACGCAGCAGCCTACATGCCGTCGTGCCCCTGCCGTGGCCGTGCAGCCCAGCGGGACCCTCTGGGGGCCACCAGCAAGGAGCTGATTGGGTCAGCAGGGTGCCCAGGTGCTTCAGAGCTTGCTTGAGTCTCTGCCTCCCGTGTGCCCCTTGGCTTGGGGGGCTCGGTGGGTGCAGCACGGCTGTCCTGCTGCGCTGGGCACGGCCACGGGCACGGCTTTCCCTGCCAGCTTCAGTTTCACGTCTTGCTTCTGGCCACAGAAACGAGTTTCCCACAGTTTGTGGTCCAGGGACTGTAACTACAGGGAGTTTCCTAAAGCTTTGCGTTTCCGAACATGCATCTATGAATCATTTTGCAAGTTTACATGAGGATTATACCTTCTTCTGAAGCCTTGCTGTCTTCTGCTTAGCTCCTGGCTCTCGTCCCGTCGGTTCTGTCATCCTGCTGTTGGAGGCACTGAGCTCGCTGGAGTGATTTGGAAGATGCTTCTCATATTTGTGGGGCAAATCACTGTTGACATTTAAGACGGGACCACGAAGCTTTGAGTTCAGTGTTGACACAGCCCTTTAAGCCAGTAGTAAATGGGTCTTTTCTCCGCTTGGCTGCTGGAAACCGCGCGTGAGTCAGCCTGGAGGACGCCGGGCTGGGTGCAAGGCAGTGACCGGCAGAGTGGGCATCCAGCACTGAGCTCTGTGAGCTGCTGGAGGCTGGGTAAATGCCCCAAGAACTCAGCCCACGCTCAGCAAAGGCAGAAGCTGAGAAATTAAAGCACTGCAAAATAACAACCCCAATGTAAGATTATGTTGCCTGATTTCCTTTGCTTTCACGTTGCTACTGTAAGTACAGCAGAACTAAGCTGGAGAGGCAGAAGCTCCCTTCCCAATGGTTTTGTTATCCATGGCATCTGAGCTTTATGTCAGCTCAGTGTGGATGTTAAGCCCCTCAAAGCAGGGCACCCAGGCTGACTGCGCATGATGGAAGTCCACGAGGCAGGTGAGGCCACTGCACAGAAAGGTTCCCCTGGACAAACGTGCTTTGCTGGCAGTTAGGAGACAGCAGCAATATCACCTGGATGACAGAAAGCTAAGCAGTTTCCCTTACCACCTGCGTGTACTTTGGGGCTCCCAGAGGATCTCAGCCACTGGTACATTCCTGGGATAACAGCCCTTGGGATTTCATGGGCTCCGATGCTGACTCACTGCATATTTTGTAGGAACGTATCTGTTTCAACTCTACACATGTTTTCCCTTTGCTGAAGGCAGTAGGAAGAGGTGTATCCGGGGAAGTAACTGGTTATGCTGTTGTTGCTGACTTGATGATTTTAGTTGCTTGGTAAAAATCCTAAGCTGCCTGCGTGTTTTCTACCCACAGTGTATAACTGGACGGTTGACGAGGTGGTTCAGTGGCTCATTACCTACGTCGAGCTGCCGCAGTACGAAGAGACCTTCAGAAAGCTGCAGCTGAGTGGACACGCCATGCCCAGGTCAGTGCTCACTGCGTAGTCTGTGGGAGGCATGCCAGGGAGAAGAACAGACTTGAGGTGGTTCATAACATCATGGGCAGTTCATCTGCGTGTGCAGAGCCACGTAGAATTCCTGTTCCGCTTCAGTTACACTTGGAGGGTTTGGCTCTGCTGCAGTGTTCTCTGCAGGGATTGATTTAGCTGTAAGGGGGCAGGTACCTGCTGTGGGTGGAAGGAGAGGCTGCAGTTTGAGCAGTGTGGTTGGAAATGCTGTCCGTGCTGCTTTGGGACCAGAGTTCATCAGTCTGCATATGCCCCAGCTGTGTTTTCAGAGCTAAAACCCTGAGCTAGAGCAAAACAGATCTCGGTGACGTCCTGGCTCTGCTACAGATTTCCTACATAATCCCAGGGAAGTCACCAGGCTTCTCTGTCATTGTTCATCATCCTCAGCAAAGTTGAGGGGTACTGGCTCAGGGCTAGGTGTGTGTCTTTGCACCACCCAGCACTGGTATGTGCTGTTAATTCATGCCCCTTGATGCTCCAGCAAAGGAGACTTCAAACCCACGAGATGCTCAAGAGAAGTGCTGGCTGTAAAGTGACTTAAACTCAAAAAAACTTGAAAAATCTGAGTGCAGCTTTTTGGGTAAAGGTTATTCTCTCTGTACAGGAACCTATAAACTGACAGATAAGTTTAAAAAAAAAAAATAAGGGGTTCAAGGCAGTGCAAGGTATGTGCTCAGGTTTCTTCTGTGGGAGAAGGATGTCCCTATAGTCAGATGTCAAAGGCTATCAGTGGAAATTGATTTAATAAAATAATTATGTCAGTAGTTTAGGTTGTCAGGATAAATAAAATAGGCATGGCCATACTTTTTTATCCTCTCTAACTGAAGCCAAAGATGATCACAGAATCATAGAATATCCCAAGTCGAAAGGGACCCCTAAGGATCATGGAGTCCAACTCCTTGCTCCACACAGGTCAACCCAAAAATTCAGGCCATATGGCTGAGAGCACAGTCCAAATGCTTCTTAAACATTGCCATGATGCTGTTTAACACTTAGATACAGATCTTCTTTATAAGAAACAACTTTATTCGAGGGATTTCTTTTGTCCTGATGGTGTAAGCAGGTAGTTTACTGGTCCTGTTCATCACATTTCTCCTCCTGTAGTTTCCATGTCACTAGTTATGGGCAGTATTAATTCAGATGGATGTGACCGTGCCTCATTCTTTTTTTTTTTTTACAGGCTAGCCGTAAACAACGCTACCATGATGGGAACTGTTCTGAAAATGACAGACAGAAGCCACAGGCAGAAACTGCAGCTGAAAGCTCTCGACACTGTGCTCTTCGGGCCTCCTCTCTGTAAGTAACACTGCAAACCTCAGCGGCTGTTAAGTGAGAGGAGCTGTATCTGCTCAGCATCAAACAGCAGAGATACAAATCAGCGTGATCCAGAGTTTATGCTGTTTAAATTGTTGCTGGTATGATCAGCCAGACACGGCAACAGGTTGCCTCTGGTGTAACCCAGCAGCTCTGCAGCCGGAGAGGCATCCTGCCACAAAGCGCTGTGTTTGATGGGCCTCTTGCAGGCAGGGGCTGCATTTTCCTGCTGGGATTTCCCATGTCTGTAGGAGAAACCTTTCCATCCTTTCCCTTAATTGGCCCAGCGGTGGGGTTTGCAGCCATGTGTTAACATCTGTGGATGGAGCCACCTGCATCCTTACAGAGCAGCTGCCTTCAGGTGTAACTGCAGGCTGTCCAGGTCCTGGCTGCAGAGCTCCTCCAAACCAGCAGAACAGCAGTGTTTAGGATGAATGAGAGCAAGGGACTGAGTTCTTTTGATGCTGATTACAGGCTTCTGTGGATGATCTAGAAGCACTCTGATGTTTATCTCAGCGCAGCTTGGGGTGCTCCTTTTGCATTCGTTCTCTCTGCCTCATGTCTGCCGTCTCTTTATTAAATGTACTTCTTGTGTCTTTCCCACTGATTCATGTTTTCCTCTTTAGCTTTTGATGCTTTTGTGAGGTAAACTGAAGCCTTGCTTGATCAGGGGCCTGTTTTGCTTGGCATCACGCAGATGTGATGGGTTTTTAAGGCAGCCTGTATTGACTGCACACGTGCTGAGCCCTCCTGCAAAGTGCTTATCTTTCCTTTTAATTAACGTGTACCCCCTGTGCCCCCTGTCTGAGAGGCTTTCAAAAATGAATACAAAGGGGTTCTTTCTCACCACAGTGCAAATACAATTGTCTGGATGCAAATTCTGGCTCAGGAACTGCCATGGTTTCGGTTGCTGGCAGCTGGAAATACAACACCATCAGAAATACCACTTCCTCTGTTATTTCTGTGGTTTTTTAAGCGTCTGCTGCTGCCCACTGTTGGCAGTGCCAGCGAGGATGGCTGCACCAGAGAGTCGGCAGTAGCAGGCAGGATGAACCTTGGCTCTGCACAACGTGGACACGCTAACGGCCTCACAGAGAAATTGATTTTTTTTGGCCGGTGAGAAGTGATAAGGAGCTTCCAAAGTCCAGCCCTTGGTGCAGCCAGTGCCGACACTTCTTGTCTTCAGTCCGTGTCCAGGCTCCTGAGAGGAGACGCAGCAAGGCAAATCCTGGGCAAATCGGCTGCTCGGAGTAAACCGGGTGAAATTTATTGCTAACAAGACAGAGCAGTGAGGAACAAACAAGAAACCAAACTCCAACACCTTCCCTCATCCACCTCTTCCACCTCCTCCCCCCCAGAAGCAGTGCAGGGGAACGGGCAATGGGGGCTGCGGTCAGTCCCTGACGCTTCATCCCCGCCACCCCTCACGGTCCCTCTGTGCCCCTGCTCCCCGTGGGGTCCCTCCCATGGATGCCGTCCTTCCCCAACTGATCCTTCAGGGGCTCCAAGAACTGCTCCCACACAGCTCCGTCCCACGGGGTCCATCCCCCAGTCCCAAACTGCTCCAGCACGGGTCCCCCACAGCTGGGCGGCAGCTCCCCCCAGACCCCATCCACCTGCTCCACCAGGGGCTCCTCCACCCATGGGGGGGCTGCAGCGTGGAGATCTGCTCCATGTGGGACCCATGGGTGCAGGGGGACAGCCTGCTCCACCAGGGGCCTCTCCCTGCACGGGCCGCAGGGGAACTTGTGCTCTGGTTCATGGAGCACCTCCTGCCCTCCTGCTGCACTGACCTTCTCACAGAGACCACCCCTGCACCCCCAGCTACCAAAACCTTGCCATTAAACCCAATACAATACCGATCAGGTATGTGAATCCTTTAAGCTTTTAGCTGAAGCAGGGATTTAACACTTTTTAGGCAGCAATACTTGCTAGTTGGTAGTTAACTGAATGGATTTGTCTCGGGTTTATTATGGTGAGAACTCACTTGTGTAAAACTAATTTCTTGAGAAATTGATTGCAAGGCAGCAGCTCTCAGCAGCCATCAGCGATCAGCAGTAACTCAGGAAGTTCTCAGCGACCTTTTAAGCTGCAGAAGCTGCTCTTCTGGCTCAGCAGCAGATTCAGTGGTTTCAGGTGCGTTCCAGTTCTTGTTCTTTTTGTTTGCTCGGTGAAGGTGGTCTCCTGCTCCTTGCTGCTGCAAGGGAAGCTCCCAGCAGCAGGATGTGGCTCCCAGGTGCAGGATCTTCAGGGTTTTTCTTATCTCCCAAAGAAGCTCTTGTACCTGCAATGCATAGGAAGCAATAAATACACCCAGCCCAGCTTGGAGTACCACAGCTGCTTCCTTCAGACTCACAAATCCAGACGTCTCACTGCCAGGGGGGATTCCAGCCCCAGTGCCAGGGCACTGGTTCTCATTCTGCCCCATAAAGTCGGGAAGACTTCCTCGTCCTGAGGCTAAAAACTTCTCTGATGTCTCCCGTAGTTTGGAGCAGAGGCTTCAGGCAGCACCAGTTGGCTGATGCGCGCCTGGGCAATTTGCTTGCTGATCAGCAGGCTCCTGTGGTCTCACGAAGGCTCATTTTCTGTGCCAGACTCCAGACGTGTGATTCCTCTCTTCAAAGAGGTCTGCTCGCTTGCAGGGCTACAGCTCTGTAATTAATCCATCGCACAGGAGTATGGGGAAATTACAAACCAGGCGAGATGAACTGATGGAGTCTGTGTCTGTGTTCCTTTGTTTTCCTGTCCCTTAGCTCAGAAATTCATCCAGGACCAAATATCACAACTTCGGGTGAAACAGGAGAGGAGAATTTAAGGAAGCAAGCAGTGAAATGTAAAACCATAGGGTTTTCTTTGTGAGTAGGGAATGTAGGTTTTTATTCTTAACTCTCCAGTAACAGACTCAGCTGTTTGTCTCCTCACATATTGCCCAAGGCACCGCCGTGCTGTGATTTTGGATCGGACAATGGGCACCCGAACAGGACGTGGCACTTGTTGCAGGTTTCTGGATGAACTTACTTTTTTTTGTTTTTCAGCAAGTGTTTATTTCTTTGGTGTCCACTCGGGGATGCACAAAGCCAGGTGTCCCTTGGTAGAGCTTCGTGTGGCTGATTTGTTTCTGTTTGTTGTGATTAGAGGAGTATTTGACAAGTACTTCGAGACCCGCTTAGATATTATTTGTTTAAAGCAATAGAATTTCTTAACCAAATAGCAGATTGATTTATCGCTGTGAGATTTACCATCCTCTTTAAATATTTACAGTTAAATGGATCGTGTTTGGATTTCCTGCACCTATACGGAAAAGCAGCTTTGTCCCGTTAGGACACTTTGTAAGTGACTTTTCTGCTCACAAGTCAGCGCTGTCAGTCCGTGGAGCTGTCTGTCCATGTGACAAGCAGCTGTTAAATAAGCTGTGGCTTTTTTTAACAATAGCTAGGAAGCTAAAAACCCAGGGGGTGTGCTTGGTGCTCAGACATCCCATTGTCCTCAAAATCAGCAAATCTTCAGGTTCTTCACCTGATTCTGGTGTGAGCCCACTAGCAAACAGAAGTGTTTGAGTACTGGAGGAAAGTCCCGGTCTTGATACAAAGACAGGAATGCTAAGTGCCTTCAGGGAAATGTAGAAGTTAGCTCGGTTTTTAAAGGAGGTGTGTGTGCTGTACTTGGTTTTATGCTGTTGTACCTCAAGCAGCTGCAGCCTGAGCTTTTCTTCTTTCCTGTGTTGTCTGAAACCATCTGCTTCTGCACGTGGCAGGCTGCATCGCAGATCTGGTTAGCTCCCACAGAGGAACCAAAAAATTAGTAATTCCCATGTTTTCTGATACTTCAATCTCGCTATAAATAACCAGTGTGGAATGTAGATTTCTTTTCTTTTATCAGTGCTAATGTAAGTTGCTTTAAAATTGCTGTTTTCCCAATAATCCAACCAGGTTTTATTCCCAAAGCAAAACATTGGGAAACTTTCAGTTTAAAAATTCAGGCTTTCAATTTGTGTCGTTCATGGTGGGTCTCTGGTTCAAAAAAATTCAGGTTACTCTTCCACTTTTCCTATTGCTTAGCTTCTTACCTCGCTTCTTTAAAACATAAAACACGGCAGCGCTGCAAACCCAGCGCAGCGTACGGTCATCCTGCATCCTGCATGCCTGCTGTGGGCTTTGGCAAAGCGGTGTCTGTGCTTCCTCCTTGCCTCCCACAAATAAAAAGAAAAAAAGCTCAGAAACCGGTGTCCCTGATGCCAGTTGCTCACCCCACAGTGTTTGTACCCGTGGTGCTCTTGGCGCTGTCTGGCAGCTGAGGTTCAGCTTCGAGAACTGCTCAAGACACTTCCTACACGGTCGGCTTCTGCCACGTTCCTCTGGGGCAGTCAATGCCTTTGCAAAGCAGAGTTGTTAGAAAAGCAGTAAGCAGAAGGTGTTCTGGCACGAAATCCCTGATCTGGAGCAGTTTGATCAAACCAAGCATGATCCCGGCACCTTGGGCGTTTCGTGGGGCTGCAGCAGTGTGAGCTGAGTGGTGAGCAGTGTGGTGAGCCACCAGCCCCTGCGGCAGCGCTTCCAGGGGACCCCAACAGAGCCCCTCCAAGGATTTTACTACAATGCAGCTGTTTGGAAGCTATAATCATTCATTTGCTAAATTCCAGGCACTTCTGCTAGCAATTGGGGGAATACGGGTGTGGGTTTGTGTGTTTGGTGTGGTTTGGTGGCAGGGGGTAGCATTGTGCACAGCAAACCAAAGGGACTTGGTGAAATGCTTCTCGGGGAAACCCCACTTAGTGCAACAATAGCTAGTGAACGTGCTTTATGCTCTGCATTTTTGAGTAGGGTAATGGTAGTGAGAACTCCATTTGTGGAAAAATAATGGGTAGTTTGTGGTAAATGCTGTTTTTTGTGAGTGTCAGTACAAGATGTAACAGCTGTACGTCTGTCCTTTCTCCCCCAGCCTGTCTGCTCTGCGGGGCGATGGGTTGAATCCAAGCACGGGTT